TCTCTCTCTCTCTCTCTCTCTCTCTCGCTCGCTCTCTCTGCACATGAATGGGGGACGGCGAATAGGCATGCGTACGTGCATATACGCACACATCACATACACACAACTTGAAGCGCATCTGATAATTACAAGCCAACATTTGACGTCCTACAAAACACAAAATTATGTCTAAAAAATGTTCCTATTGGCTACCCGACCCATTCCTCCAAAATGCCAAAGTCTCCAAATGCCCGATGACCTATATCGTAATGCAAATACGGAAATTTCCATTTCTAGTGAAGGAGAGGAGAAGAAAACTCCCCCACAGACACGTAAAAAAATAAAAGTGCACTTTCACAAAGAAGCGCATTAAAATACCCACACTTTACACACTTATAAACCCCCCCCCCCCCCCCCCTCCTTTTAAAAACAAAAGAAAATGAACAAGCGTTTCATTCCTTCCTCTTTTGGCAAACATATTCGCTTCACTGGAGCGTAAGTTATAAAACAAAACAAAAGACGGGCACACAGAGGAGAAAAACAATAAACAAATATAACTAATCCACCAGAACACAGGCTGTGCACATCACACAAAAAGGGAGGATGGTGGCAATTAGGATGCCGCAGGAACAGCAACGCGACAGAAGGGAACAGAGTTTGGCCAAGCCTTTCACAGAAATCGAGTAACCGGCTAAATTCTGTTAAAAGGACTGCTAAAAGTCAGTGAATCCAAAGAATTCGAACCACTAACCCGTTAAACAACCACAATTGGCTCGTTGGGCTTTTACGGGAATAGGCTTCTGTTGCTCATGCTGAGAATGTTTAGAGTTTTGCTTCGGGTCATTGTTGCTTTCGGATTGGGGGGGGGGGGGGGGGGGGGGGCAAGGCCGTGCCATTTTTGGATACAATGCATGTGGCATACAAATATGATTGTACATACATTTAGTCGAAATGTCTTACTTCATTACCGCAACGGCAAATGTCTGAATGTCTGATAAGCATTCGGTCAAACAAACTCAATTACCAGGCTCTGCGGTCGACCTCGATTTAATCATGAGACGTACCTCGATCGATAAGTGGTTCACCCTGGTGAATTACACACAAGTCCAAGAATTCTCGCTCACCAGAAAATTTATGCTTACTATAAAAGTCTCAGTGAAAGCATGGCACACTTTTGCTAAGGAAGTAGTTGCATATGAGTGGCACCAATTGTACGACAGAGTCGGGTTTCTGTTGGGGTTAGAGTAAGCTGTTAACATACCCGGTCTCCTTGGTGTTCTTTGTGCGTGTAAATCCCAAATACTGTTCCACTGACAGGGTGACAGCGCAGTCTACCCTTCTATGTTTGCTCAGCGCACCCGTGACTTTCAAGGCATTAACAATTAGCCCCATCCCATCCCGCAATGTTTTTTAGACTTGCTGAACGTGGACAGAAATCTGTAATAACAAAGTTCGGTAGTGGGGGGGCGGTCGAAAGACAAGAAGAAGGCGCAGAGGCCGTAAGTGTGTGTGTGAGGGAGGGGGGAGAAAGGGGGAAAGAAAAAGAGAGAGGAAGGGAGACAGAGAGAGAGAGAGAGAGAGAGAGAGAGAGAGAGAGAGAGAGAGAGAGAGA